CCCCGACGGGACCGAAGCCCGGAGAGGTTGACCGAGGCCCAGTTCTCGTCTCTTTGTAGTCACCTTTGCCCAGATTATCTGTCTTATCCAAAGAAGAAGACCTCAGAGTCTGTCTGCATGTGACTAATCCGTCTCATGGGGTTGGCTCGACAACTACCTCCACGGCTAGAACTCGAGACAGAAGAGATGGGCTGCGGACATGTGGGAGGCTGAGCGTGGGAGGACGAACAGGAGGGAAGCGAAACGCCGACCGGACTGTGCCCGGTTGTGTAGGTTGGACGTGGCCATCCGAGCAGCAGCCTGTGATCGATGTCCGATCGAACTGTACCTGGTCATCTCCATTTGGGAGCCCGATTTGGCCAGAACTCTGCTGATCCAACCATTGGCCCGTGCGGGCAATTAAATGCCGAGGCTAGGGCTAAGACAGTCATTGGGGCAAGAGAGGTCCTGTAGGCGGCAGCCGGGCAGACGCTTTGGGATTTTCTGTCTGTGTAAACACACCTACACATACACACAGACAGGCAAACAAACACAAGCTGATGTGAAAAATCCAAGGATGCCAATAGTCTGGGTGACAAAGGTGACACTAATTCACTTACCGTGAATGTGGTTGAAATTTGTCTAAGATCTCTGAATCATCCAGGTCAAGCGAAGCTGTGGCTCCTCGGCAGAATGTGATTGAACGCTCAGTAAATTCTAGCTCGACGAGAAATCTTACATACCGCATGGCCGCATACTCGGGGCAGAAAGGGTGGTGTCACTTTCGGTAATAATGACCCGATGAAGAAGCGATTGCAGGGAGCGCTATTTTGAGGAAATCGGCGATCGGAACAGCCACAGTCGCGGTACATGGCAAAGAAGACAGTAGATAAATCCGATCCTGCAGATATTTGTCATAAAATCTAAGACGCCCCACTTGAGGAATATCCGAGCGGCGGAGATGATGCCTCCTTCATTGGAAAGTCGACATGAAATCCGACACAGGGCGGTTAAGGGGCGTCTATAAGAAACTGGGGATACTCAAACTTCCTGGTCTAATATGTGGTAGTTCATTGGAATGAGGAAACTACAAATATTCCTTTACTTCGTTTTGAACGAAAGCAGTTCGCAAAGTGTTACCAAAAGGAAATATCATTTCATCTTTTGAAGGTAGCCAGGGGTTCAAGTATGGAAATTTATAGGCCCCTGTTTGCAGTAGATAGAGCAAAATAAGAATAGCTCTTGTGCCCAGAGAGCATTTCAATCAGGTTGAACCATCAAATATTTAGTATTAATTTCTCGTTCCCCATGCATAAGCCGCCCATTTTTTCCAAAATTTCCAAGCCCCAAAAGTAGGGGGGTGGCATATATAAAGCAGGTACACGTTTTATGCTTGAAAATCGCATAAAATAATAAAGTAGGAATCAACTGGTTTTTCAGCTCCTTCGAATCCTCTTTTGTTTTTTGTTTTTGTTTTCGTGCGACTTGCAAGCATTGTGCACAGTAATCGGTTACTGTGTT